ATGATAAAAAAGAAAAAATAAAAATAAAAAAATATTATATACAAAAAAAAAAACTGAAAAATTCTTTTATAGATCTTTATGTAAAGAAATTGTATACATTTTTTAAAGATATAGTACAATTGATAAGAACAACAACATCTATAAAAAAAACAACAATGCATACTATTCAGACAACTAACTACAAATAGAAATAGTAGGAGTAGCTGCTGAATAACTCGCTCGCTCATCTATATCTTTGGATATTTGTATTCGCACTCGTCGTATTCGCATAATGGGCCAACGATTAATTTCAAATAATAAATTTTGAACTGTAACTGTAACACAACCATTTATTGTTAAACATATTTCTAACTGAATATTTTCATACTCTTTCTGCGACTGTGTCTCATCCTTTTATCTTGTGTTTTTTTTTCACATTTTTGTGGCAAAACTATGCAAAAAGTATCCAATAACAATAGCTTATCTTTCGAATTGTGGTATACAAACAGTCATCTTAAATGAAATTTATGAGTTTGTTTTGTATTCAATATGTAGTCATTCCATTCGTACGTAAATATGTAAACTTGAACCTCACACAAACATACTTTAAATTGAGCACTATTAAAGGTTATGTGGTGTTAAAGATACCGCCGACCAACAAATGATGTTGATGGCTTAACAACAATAACAGCTATAACAAAAATAACAAAAAAACTAACAAAACTGATATTCCATGAATGGACAACGGATTAGCAGAAGCGCGTTGTTAAATAGGAACCAAAAGAGAAATATTGGAATCACAACTAATAATCGATAAAATATCTTTCTGTGTGTGACAACTTTAACTGTATGTTTCAAAACAAAACGTTTCTTACAGAAAATTTTCCGGATCAATTAACTTTTCTATTGAAAATTGTTCAAAATAATCGAAGTGATCAGTTATCATCAGAATTTATTCGGAAAAATCTTTTTTTTTCAAAAGGAAATTGTTCTCATTGATCAGCTATAACAAAAATTACAACAACGGATTAATAGGAGCGCGTTGGTATATAGGAACCAAAACAGAAATATTGGAATTACAACTAACCACCTAGAAAATACGTGTCTGGTGTGACAACTGTAACTGTAAATATAATCTTAAAATGTTTCAAAACAATACATTTCTTACAGAAAATTTTCCAGATCAATGATCAGTTATCATCAGAATTTATTCGGATTCAATGATCAGTTGTCTATATTAAACAGTTTGGAGTAATCGGTTTCATAATTGTTAGTAACGATAAGTATTCTATAGCGTAATTTTATCACCAGTGGACAATTCTCTTCAGAAATTACTCGTAACAATATTTTTTTTCCACAGAAAATTGTTCGTAATGATCTATTGTAATCATTCCAATTTGTTTGGAATGAAAATCTTCCGGATCAATCAACTTTTCTATAGAAAATTTTTCGAAATAATCGAATTGATCATTTACCATCTCAGAATTTATTACCAACAATCTTTTTTCAAAAGAAAATTATTTACATTAATGATCAGTTTTATAATTACTCGTAACGATCAGTGTTCCATAGCAAAATTTTGGAAATTGTTCCAAATAATCTGTTCGGGGCGATTCATTTACTATAGAAAATATTTTGCAAACTTCAGTTTTCTATAGAAATTGTTCGTAACGATCAGTGTTTTATTAAAATTTTACCATCAGTTTTGTCCAGAAACATCTTGAGAATGATCAGTTTTATATAAAATAGTTGAAAACGATAACATTTTTCGGAAGGATCAGTTTTCTTCAAAATTTATTTGGATTAATTTTTTTTATTTTGTCGAAAAAATTAGTTTTCTATAGAAAGTAGCGATCAGTATTCTATAAAATATGTTTTGGATTTGGATTCTACAGGAAGTTAATCGAAATGATTAATTTTCATATAAATTTGATCTTAACGATCAGTGTTTTGTTTTATAAACTTGCTTGGAGAGAACTGTATTATAGAAGATTGTTCGAAACAATCATTTTTTTTTATCAAAATATATTGTTTTCTATTGAAAGTAGGGATCAGTATACTATACAAAATGGTTTGGATCTGGATTCTATAGGTAATTGATCGAAATGATAAATTTCATATAAATTTGTACGGAACGATAGAAAGTTGTTTGGAGAGAACAGTATTATAGAAGATTGTTCAAAATAATCAGTTTTGTATAGAAAATGTTGGGGAATAATTATTGTTCGGTACGACTATTGTTCCGTAGTAAATCTTTCGGAAGAATCAGTTCTCATTAGGAAATTGTTTGGAATAATACATTTTTAAGTATAGTGTTTGAAACGATAAGAATCAGTTCAAAACGTTCAGTACGGATCGATCACTTTTCTATAGAATCTTCTATGGAGCGATCAGTTTTCTATATAAATCTTATAAATTATTAATTGTCTACAGAACGATATTTGAATAATCAGTACCATGGAACAACCAATTCTCAAACTAAAATAGTTTGGAATGATCAATTTTCTCTAAGAACTATTCTTAATGAAATATGATTAATGGAAAACTGTTTAAAAGTATAAGTTTTATTAAAAAATTATTTGCAGCGATTCATTTTCTATAAGAATTTCTTCATAAGAATCTGTTTGAAACGTACTACAGTACGGTTAGATCACTTTTCTATAGAATTTTCTATGAAACGATCAGTTTTCTATAGAAATCTTAGAAATGATTAGTTGTCCAAAGAACAATATTTTGAATAATCAGTACTATGGAACAATCAGTTTTCTAACTGTTCCGAATTATAAAATTTTTTCAAAAAGATTTTCGGAGCGATCAGTAGGTCATTAAAGTGTACTACAAGTTTTTTTTTTAAAGGTGTTTCAAATTGATTGATTTTCTGTTGAGACAAGCTGAATTATAAATTTTTTCCTCAATCAAATTGATTGTTTCAGTTTTAACTTGAAAAATAGATTTGATCGATTTTTTATAGGCAATGATCGTATAATCGTGTAATAAAATAGATTTTGAATCAGTTTTTAGAGGAAACAACCTTATATAGATCTTTAATAGATATTTTTTATAGAAAATTATCGAATGAATTATGCTTTATGTTTTTAGAAGAAAAAAATTAAAACGATTTTCTTTAGATCATGGATCTTTGATCAATTGTTTATATAAAATTTTTACATGGTTTCAGTTTCATAAGATCAAACGGGAAATAAAATTATCTTATTCCCTCTTTTCAAAAATAATTTTAGCCATCCTTGCTTAATAAACTGCACAAGGAAATAAAGACGACCCAATAACCCGCTGTTGTAGGTGTTGGCTTATTTAAAAAGATCACAAGCACAACAACAATAATAATAATGCTTAAGTTTTATAACCATTTTTAGTCAGAACCATATCATCTTCATAATTTTCTTTTTAATTTTTTCGCGTTTAAATTTGTTTATTTATATACAGCGTAAGTTTAGAGGCCTAAGAAAACTAAACCCAAAGTGAAAATTTTTAATTGTATTGTTAGAATTACGGACACACAATGTTGGCACTTGTAGGGCAAATCATAATACGTTGTTTTATATGGGTAACAAACAAACAAATATGCAGCAATAAGTTGCTGGCTCAAACTAGTGCTGAAAAGCCGCCTTCTAAAAGATGCTGATATGCTGATGATGTAGATCGAATTGTTGGTGATGGTGATGGTGGTGGTAGTGTTGACTTTTTGGCAAAATGAACAAAAATAAAAGCACGCTAAAGATGATGTTGCTAAAGCTGGCTAAAAACATTTTTTGTAATACCTAAATTTGATACTATGTAAGCTGCTAATACACTGCAAAACAAGGAAATTTCCTTAGTTTCATTTATGTGTGTGTTTTTTTTTCGCGATTTTTGCCGTTTGTAATACATCTGAATTGTATACAAAAGAAGAGATGTTGGTCACGACAATTTAAACGTGTTCCAATAAGCAATTAACAATGGTAAGATTCATATACTACACAGATGTGTATGTTTGTAAAATAGCAAAAAAACAAACTCCCAAAAAAAAAGTTTTGCACAAAAAATGCCGCTTTATTTAGACACACAATTGTGTTAAAAGACAAAAGGTCTCTTGAATTTTTCTAACACAGCCGTGTGTTTCTGTGAAATACTACTACTTTAACTAACTAAATATGTTGCCGAACTATTACCCATAGACTACTGCTGCCTAAAAATTTATGGAAACTTATATCAATGCTAAAACTCAAATTGTAGACTTGTGTAGTCATATAACTTTACTTAAAAGAGTTTTTAGTTTTGTTTATTTTTTAAGGAATATTTTTGCCATTTGAAATTGTAGAAATAGTAAAAAAAATTCGCCTAAATATGATTTTGGCTAATGAAGTAGGAAAAAAGGAAAGATGTTGGCTTTACACGACCTCCCAATACTCTTTTTGATAATATTTTTTTGAAGAAAAATCTAACAAATATAATTGATGAAAGAATAAGGTTCAAATTAACGCATACACGATATATAAATTATGCCAAAATGTACTAGATCTATTACAGTTCTATATCGAGTGCTATCATCTCCTGTAGAACAAGTGAGAGTGTTATATTCGGCTGTGCTGAATCTCATATACCCACCATCAAACCGTATGCCTTATAAGGAATGCTCCCCTATGTATAAACATCAGTGTTCTATTACTCATCAAATTAACTGAAGAAGACCTTATATGAGAGATAGGGTTAATAATTGACCGTTTTTCATAACAATTTTTTAGACCAATTTTAGTTCATACAAAACATCTTTACATCGAATATCACTTCCCGACACTTTCCGCATGAAATTGGGTAGAAAGATTTACGTTCCTATAAATGTTTCGTATATAAAATTTCATAACTGTTCACGTATTTTTAAATCAGCAAAGATCGTTAAAATTATTTTCTTATGGACCGATCCTCAATAAATTTGGTAGAGAGCTTTTAACTCGTATAAAAAATATGTGTGTCGAATTCCATTGCTTTTCTGTATTCTGTATTTTTAAGCCAGTAATGATCGT